AAATATAAAACCTTATTACATATAGATAGACTTAATCATGAAATGTGCAAGACCTGAGCTGGACAGTTGAGGAACAGGTTGGTTGGATGACATTCATAGGACTGTGAGAGTTGACTTGAAGGCAAATAAAGACTTAACATTGTGTGGGTTGAGAAAAAGGATGAGAAGCCTTTTTGAAGACTTATGTAAAATGTTTATGTTTTTATTAGAAAAATGAAGGTAAAGTATATGTAATGTATAGTTAATATAATTGTGACGATGTGTAAATTTTATTCCTTTGGTTATGTGTAATTTAAACAGTAGTTTAGGGATGGTAAGTATGGGAGATTATGTTTTGTGGGAGAGAGTGGCTTGGCGTTAGCTGAGTTGCCATAGCAACATGGGCGGAGCCAACTGCCTCTTCAGGGGCAGCTGTTTTAAAAAAGAGTCAGTCAGTACGCCAGCGAGCTACTGAGTGGACTGAATCTTTTGGTGGAGATTCAGGGAATGTGTCTGTAGCCAGTGTGCTATAGGGAAAGACTGAATCTCTTGGTGGAGATTCAGGGAATCAATTGGTGACCAAGTGGTTGCAGAGAAGGACCCGGTACAGGGGGTTGTTGATTCTGAATTAAGAATCAAGGTTTGGCTGGGTTTAAGCCTGTTGTGCCAGCTGTGAAACCTTTTGAAGTGTTTGCCTGAGATTACTCATGAAACCTTTCCAATGTAACCATCAAGATTTGTGCCTCTTTTGAAGAACAGTTATACATTGTTATACTCATGTTGAAATAAACCTGTTACTGTTTTCCTCAAGCCTTGCCTGATACAGTTGCTCCTAAGTTGAACAGCCTGCAATAGTAAAGTCAAGCCAAGAAAGTAAACGCTATGCTATCAAGTGAATAAAGCCTTCTGTAATTAACAGTCCCTTTATAAAATAGCTCCTAGGTTGATATTGATCGTTGCCTGGCTTCCCTCATAGATTAGGTGGCAGTGGGTGCTTTACCACGCGCACCTTCACTATTGGTGGCATTCGGTGGCATTAAAACGGTCATCGTTACAATTGGTGGCAGCAGTTTAACAACTCCTTCACAATAATGTTTTGAGAGGGGATGAGAGTATGGACTGTGGGAACTGACTGTGGTGATCTGCAGTGTGGTTTTACAGGATTTCAAAAGGTTGGTCTGTATGACAGCTAAACAGTTAAGAATGTGAATTAGAGACGACTTGAGAGTTAGGGTTGTTGATAGAAATGAGTTCACTTCAGGCCATTTAGTTAGGAATTAGTTGGCTAAATCTATGCTTTGGGCTCTTTGTATCCACTGGAGTTCGATTCTAGGACCCTTTGTGGGTACCAAAATCCATGGATGCTCAAGTCCTATATGCAGTTGTGTAGGAAAAGGGTATTCCTCACATAAACTGACAAAATGAAGAATTCATGATGCCATAGCAAATGGTGTTGGGAGAGGAAAACCTAAGGCTTTTGACTTAATGTTTCTTTTGGCTTTGAAGTATGTCTTCTTCTCATTTGATGAAGTGGGCAGCGCCCATGAAAACAAATGCCATCATAAAATTTTATTAGTTTTTGGGCTCTTTCACACCTCATAAATATAGCACCATAATTCCACTTTAACTGCCATGGCTGTGCCTTTTAAAATCCTGGAATTTGCAGATTGGGGAAGGAGATTTTATTTATTTATTTATTTATTGAAAACATTTATATTCCACCCTTCTCACCCCGACTCAGGACAGAGGACAGCATATATACAGCAAACATTCAATTCCATTCAGGGCGGAGCACAGCATATATACGGCAAACATTCAATGCCGGGACATAAAACCATAAATATATACAAACATTAAAATCACTTATATCCACATTAAAAGTTGTTTAAAAGCCATCTCAGGACACCATTTTGCCTCCTTGCACTGCCCCAAAGGCTTGGTCCCACAGCCAGGTCTTCACCATCCTTCTGAAGGACAGGAAGGAGGGGGCTGATCTAATATTACCGGGAAGGGAGTTCCATAACCGGGGGGCAATCACTGAGAAGGCCCTGTTTCCCATCCCCACCAAATGTGCCTGTGATGGTGGCGGGATCGAGAGCAGGGTGTCCCAAGAAGATCTTAGTTTCCACAGTGATTCATAAAGGGAGATGCGTTCGTACAGGTATTTATAGAGTTTTCAGCCAGAGAGCTCCAGTATTTCACCAAACTACTGTAGAGTGCATCCATGGTAGTTAGAAGTGGAATCATAGTGCTATAATTGTGCCATGTGAAAGGGGCCCTTTGAGGTTCTCTCTGCTGTTTTTGCTGCAGCAATCTAAGAGCCCCCCCTCTTGAAATACTGAAAGCATACCGAACATGGGGATGGCTAATTCATTTGGGGGCAGGGTGAGGGTGATGTTTTGCCAACCTGACTTACATAAAATGTTTGGTTCCGAAGTCCTTTCATCGCTTGGCTTGCAGACTTTCTTTTCCTTTTATTGTTTTTCCAAATACCAAACTTTACCGTCTGTTTCCCCTCCTTAAACACTTTTCCTTTAAGACCACTCATTCATTATTGTAGGATTTGCCTACTGAAATAATTAAGTTGGAAAAAGCAGTGTTTGGTGACCTGCCTCAAAATCTTGCTGACATTAACAGTGTGGGATTAATCCCAGCATATAAAAAATTGTTTTGAAATCTATGTTCAGAAATTGAAGGGTTTTCCCCATCACCACCACCATCTTGTCCGACTAATGAAAGTAGATACCGGTTCTAATGTGTGCTGTGACCCATTCTACACAAAAGTTTTAAATTGTTTCAATCTCTTTATGACAACTTCCTTGCTGAATAATTGCCGAAGCAATCAAAATGCAAAGACGCCGTTGTGCCAGCCTGAAAACCACCTTCACTGTGAATATTTTGTATAGTTTATTCAAAGCTGTCTCTTCCCGTCTCCACGGCAGCTCATTCTTTTTGCCAGCTTTTGAGCCGTTGTTTGAGAACAAGGTGACAAGCAGCTTCATATGAGGCAGTTTATAGTCCTCAAATTGTGATGCCGTTTATAGTCCGCAGGCTTCAGAAAGGGGCCTGAGGCTGCTTATCTTAACGGTGACCTTCTGTTCTCCTCACCTTCTTATTTATGTTACTACTCAGAGCTGCCTTCGAAGGCAGCAGGGAAATCCAAATCCTCCTTAGCCAAAATACCATGCTGATTCCCTTCGGTTTGATTGCGCGATTTTCAGACAGAAAGGTGTAGCTGGTCTCTACAGTTCCATATATTGAATTGTTGTGTTTGTTTTTCTTTTCCAGGACCCCCGAACAGTGTCCAAGCGTGGTTTCCTTGCTGTCTGAAAGTTATAACCCCCACGTCCGGTATGGGGCAGCCATGGCTCTGGGTATCTGCTGTGCTGGGACAGGAAACAAGGTGAGCTCAACCCATCCTCTGGCTTTTTACACTTCCATTAAGGTTCTACAACAGAAGAACTTAAGGCTGGATGAAGGAGCTTTAGAAAGACCACACAAGAAGTTACAATATGGGCCAGAAAAGCGCTATATGGAGACTACATATGGTCCTGATCTCCTTTTT